TCTCCCAGTTACTGCTGCAAAAGTACATCTCCACAGCATGATGCTGCCACCACCTTGCTTCTCTATAGGGATGGTACTGGTCAGGTGATGAGCGATGCCTGGTTTCCTCCAGACATGACACTTCACATTCAGGCCAACGAGTTCCATCTTTGTGTCATCAGATAATTTTGGTTCCATGGTCTGAAAGTCCTTCAGGTGCCTTTTGGCAAACTCCATGCAGGCTGTCATGTGCTTTTTACTGAGGAGTGGCTTCAGTCTGCCTGCTCTAGCATACAGGCCTGATTGGTGGAGTGCTGCAGAAATGGTTGTCCTTCTGGAACGTTCTTCTCTTTCCACAGAGCAATGCTCTCGGTCACCTCTGAGGCCCTTCTACCCTGATCGCTCAGATTGGCTCGGCGCCCAGTTCTAGGAAGAGCTCTGTTGGTGTCAAACTTCTTCCAATTACAGATGATGTGTGCTCATGGAGACCTTTCCTGTACCCTTCAGTAGATCTGTGTCTCCATGCAATCCTACAGACAGTTCCTTAGACTTCCTGGCTTGGATTGTGCTCTGACATGTACTCACAGTACTCAGCTATGGTACCTTATAGACAGGTGTGTGCCTTTCCAAATCATGTCCACTCTACTGAATTTACCACAGGTGGACTCCAGTCAAGCTGTAGAAACATGTGACCAATGATCGGTGGAAACAGGAAGCACCTGAATTCAATTTTGCGTCTCGTGGAAAAGGCTGTGAATACTTATGTATATGTTACATTTTTGTTTTGTTCTTTTATTTTTAATAAATTTGCAGTAATTTTAAGCCAACTGTTTTCACTTCGTCATTCTGGGGTAATATATGTAAAATGAATTTCAGAATAGGGCTGTAACATGACAACATGCGCAACAACTGAAGCTCTCTTGATACTTTCCTGAGGCACAGCAACGTTATCTCTCAGTTTAACCATGTTTATCTCCCAGTTTAGACCCTGTCTAAGCAGGAGGAGGAGCAGGTTACCAGGCAGGAGGAGGCGCAGAGTGGTCGGACTGCAGGTTTAAGGCGTCGCCTGAAAAATTCTCCTAGATTTCTGTAATGATGTAAATCCTCCACTGCTGCCTCCTGGTGGACAAACAAAGGAACAAACAAACTTTATTTAATAGTAATAAAGAAAACAAAATGGCCAAATAAACAAACTGAGCATGTCCTGACCTGCATGTTCACGCCAAAGGTCCAGATATACAGGGAGTAGATGGGTTTCCGAAGCCAGGTGGGGAGCTCCACCCCATTCAGACGACCCCACGCCCGAGAGAGGAGTCGAGTAGGGAAGGAACGGTACAATGCCACCTGTAGGAGGAAACAGCAGCTACACCTTTGAATTTATTTACATGAGTGGATAAAATGACAAATGACGAGTCATTCTATAGACTGGAGTAAAAAGAGAGAAAGTAAAGGAGGAGTTTTGGGGGAGTCGTGGGTAAGAAGAGAATGGATAAATAGGGGTAGGGGACTAAAGTTTAGATGTCCAACAGTTTTTTAGGGTAATTGAATCCAATCGATGGGACAGATCAATAAGTTTGTTATCAGTGATCAATAAGGTGTTCTGTTTGTGTTTCTGCTTCTGATTGTTTCACGCTTTCATTTTCAAAATGCAGACTGGAAATGTTGCGTCACTGCATCAACTGGTCGATTGATCAGATATTGACCAGAGGAGACAGGAAAGGAGGTGAAGCAGGATGTACGAATATGGCTGCTGCCCGCCTTGCACTTCAACCAATCAGAGGCTTCTTACCCGGCAGGCCAGTGGCCGCAGAGTGCTCACAGACAGGATATAGCACAGGAAGGAGATTGGCCGGTGGCGCCATGCGGCAGGGCGACTCACGCCACCCTTGAGCGCGCTCAGACGGCGACGGAGAGCCAAA